AAATTTATTTTTTAAAAGCTCAGAGTGTATTTTAATGCAAATTTAGCAGGGTAATTTAACTTTTCTGGGGTTTAACTTTTAGTGGTTGGTGTAAGTACAAATTGTTGGCATGACAGGGTTGTGTGCTGCAAAATATCTCATACTGCATTATGCCACCAGCAGCGGCAGAAGCTAAAGTTAATGTAAAAATGTATCCATTTATGAAATTAATGTATCACAAAAAGTAGATCACATATGTTTTAAACGATGATTTAGGCAATGAATTAATCCTCAAAACCTTCTGTATGAAGTAGATTTTTCAAAAATTTAGCCTACTTTGAAAATGTGTTTTTTTTTTTGATTTTTCGGAGCTGCTAAGCTCTGTGCTGATTGACCTTAAGTCAGACTGGGATTTACCTTCTAATTACTGACATGATGTCAGCCCTTCTCTTTTCCCCTTTACGTATTATCTGTTTGTAGCTGCTAAAAATGAGATATAAAGTCTTTATAATGTTGTTCGATAACTGCACTAACCAAAATAAAATTTAATTCTTTCTGTAAACAGTCGATATTTTAATGCAGGAATCCCACATTGTGTTGCAACAATTTTCCTTTACATTACAAATATTTTTATATCTCATCAAGCTTTTCAGATGGCAAAATCTTTATATGAATAAGAAAATATTTCAATTAACTACCCCTGATGTTCAAACAGAACACTTCTCCATGTACATCAAAAACATACATTTCTCGAAAACTATTTTTTAATGAAACCTAATTTGATGGAGTGTAAACTCTTTATCATTCTTGTTTTTAATGGTTCAAGCAGATAAATCTTCAGTAGGAGAAATTGATGATAAATAATTCACTGTACTTGACAAAGTATTTTACCTGATGCTAGGAATTTAAGGAAAGTTTGCTTATGAATGTTTTGTGACTGCTTTTAAATTAATTGCAAAGTTTTACAGCAACAGCAAGCCAAATGCATGTTAACAAGAATAACACATGTTGCTGTGTAATGTCTGTTAAGATTTCTTCACTGCCTTGAACAGAAGAAGGGTTTTATCTCTTGATAGGGTTTAAAAAAAAGATCGCTCAGGCTTTTCTTTTATATTCTCTTTAGTTTCTTATCCCACCACTCGCTGTACGGACGGTGTACAGCACTTATCTTCATAACCTTATCATATACCATAAATAAATTATCTGTGCCTTTCAGAGCAATGGGAAAGGTAGTCATACAAATTCCTTGGAATTCCTTATGAGCAGATAAAACAAATCCAAGGTCTTTAATTCCTGCAGCTTGAGAAAGTTTAAATAAAAAAATAAACATTCTCTGCTTGTTTAATTGTCTGACTGAAACTAATTAAAGGTAATGATAATCAGTCCTGGGTTTATTCTATAGAATTTTGTATACACATTTATATTTTGCACATAGGAAATTTATAGATTCCAAGGTTTAGTAAGACATCCAAAACAGAAGGTGGGCAGATTACAGTAAGTCCACATAAATGGGCCGCTTTTAAATAATTATGGTTCAGAAAAGGCAAGATATGCACAAGTCTAAATATGATTATACAAAAGAGGTTTCTCATGAAAGAACATAAGTTGTTTAAATACCTCAACGTTAAAGAAAACTTAAGAAATAGAAAAACTTATTTCGGCACATTAAAAGGGCAACTTAAGGAGGAATGTGTGTTAATTTATTTGACAATGTAAGGGGTCAACCTTTCCAGCATTTGTATTGTCAATGCATTGTCTATGACTCAGGGACAGCTTTTCATGCTTTGAAGAAGACATGAATAGAGACAAGACAGAGAAAATCCAAAAAAGGCAGGAAATTGAAATGTTGTGTGAGAGAAATAGCATCTTGGATGTTCAGATGGACGGAGGCACTGATTGAGTTCCATAAAAGATTGAAAAGTGTGAGGTCACGTAATGTTGCCTATTTACCTTGTAAATGTTGCATCTGAAACAACAAAAGACAAATGACCTTTGAATACATCAGAACTGAAGGCTCATCAACTGAGTTTTATTCAGGCCACAGACGAGATGATTGCTTGTTAGAATTATTTTTATTGTATTGCAAGGATTTCAACTTGCTTTTGCTTCTGTGCATGATATGTTGGTACCTTTCAGTGATTAAATTACATTTTTGATCATACACATCATATGAAAATTGGCATTCCTGCATTTAAATGTTGTAGGAAGTTGGAAAAGCTATTCTTAAAGTTTGAAGTCTTAAATCAATGCATTTATTAATTCAAAATAGACTCCAACCTTGAAAATGTGTTATATCTTAAAAAGAGGCTCCCTGTGAACCAACTGCAATGTTTTTCAATGCAAAGATCATTTAGAGCACTGTATATTTCAATCTGACAAACTCACATGGACAGTAAAGGACAATTAGAAGAATTTTATTGATACAATTATTTTAAGACTTTGCCGCTCAGACCTTGGCAGGAAACATTAGCACTGAATTCTACTTTAATATGCTTAAGCAGTTGTATGAGAACACCCCCCGCCTTCAAACTGGTGATGAAGAGGAGACAGATGAAGTTGGTCAGTCCATAGACTGCTGGTTGGCGAGACAATCTGCTTTATCTGAATCGGTGAGATCCAGAAGACTGCGTGAGCTGATACTAGTGCTTCAATTGAGACCCAGAGGAAAGATGTCCACCTTGGATAAAAACAGGTTGTATGAACCTGTCCATGATGAGCAAGCCTGAAGCAACAGTGGAGAGGAAAAACTCCCCTTTGGGAAGAAACCTCTGGCAGAACCAGGCTCAACATGGCGGTCTTCTGCCGGACCAGTTGAGATGTGGTGGGGAATGCGGTAAGAGTCAGAGAGGAATTACACTCCGATAGGAAGCATCATGGAAAAGCCAGAAGGAGCTTAGCTACGATAGTGGAGAAGGGGATGGAGGTGGGTTGAATCTGGGTCATCCGAGTCAAATGAGATGACTCATGTAATTACTGCTTGGACTTGGCTGGGTAACATGCAGAGTCATGGATTTGGAGACATTTTAAGATGAACTCTGGATGCTGACTGAGCTTTGTGGAGGTGCGGTTAAAAGCTGATTGTTTTCCATCAGAGGCAGATAAGCATCTGACGAGGAGGCAAGTAATTTAGTTTCTTCAGTTAAACTTCCTACTAGACTTCATATTAAAGAGGGGGAATGACACCCAACGGTGGAGCCATTTTAAAAAAAATATCATTGAATATCTTGTAGTCTGTGCACACTATACATTGGGGTTTATTAGAGCGGGGTTGACATCTCCTTCATAGCTACGGCCGACTGTCTTTACTTGATTTTTTTGCCTTTTTTCACCATGGTGCACAATATGAGTGCAAACGTTCTGCATGGCACTTTTTGTCCGTCATCAACAAACAGTGCTTATTTACCACATTGGCAAACTTTCAGAGTAGCAGAGACTTTTTAAAAATGTCCTTGCATTCAAAGAGGACAGAGTCCTTTCTTTTTCTTATTACATGTATTCCGTGTTCACCCAATCTCAGCTCAGACCTCTTAACTGGAGCTGATGCAGAATTCAATATAATAGTTTTATTTTTAAGTTTTCATACTCCCTAAATTAGAAATGGTAAGTATCTGCAAAAATATCAATGTGCTTACTTCTAGCATGCACCTTATTGGCAGACATGCATAAGAAAAACATGTGCTGAGCCAAACAAAGATGGCACAAAAATCAGCTTTTGGTTTGCTCTCCTCACTATGCTGAGATTTGTGCTATTTTTCTTGTGGCTCATTACAATTGCCAACAGTGTCCAAAGATTTTGCTAACTTTTTTTTTTTTTTTTTTTTTTTTTTTTTTACTGCTGAGCAGAATAATTGAATGCAGTAATAAATAAATAAGATTTAAAAAAAAGGGATCAATGAGGAACTAAACCACTTAAAATAAGATTCTCTACATACATGTCCATTTTGGAGCAAATGTTCTTAAGTTTTAGGAAATATTTTCATGTGTAACAAAATCTGCATGCATCTCTTTTACCGATAGAACAAATATAAAATTATTTAATTGTGACTGGAGGGATCACATTACCCTGTCTGAGGGCAGCACAAGAGGAGAAATATGAACTGATGGGGAATACAATGAATGATAAACAAGTGCTGTTGGCTGCCTATATGCTTTTAATGCTAGTACATGAAACTGGTTAAAACATCACACAAGATTGTTGTCATCGCAGTCCCTCTTAGGGACTGATTCATCATGGTCAAATAAAATTTACCCCTCCTACCTTAAAGTATTTATTGTTTAAAACTGAATTGATAATGTTTTATTTCAGACTAAAGACCATTTCAATAGGAGGTTTGAAAACTTTATTTAATCATTTTTTTCCACTTTTAAAAACAAAATTGAAAATCCCCAAGTCCTGTTTTCTTCCTTTTTAACAATTTACAGCATGGTGGCACTATTTTGTAGTTTTTACACAAGCGGTCTATACAATAAAAAGTCTCAGAACTACTGTAAGAACCCATTCAAATAACCACATCCAACTGTTATTTTTTTTTATATGTTTTAAAAATTTTACATTGTAAACTGCATTTATTGCACACATTTTTACTTTTTTTTTTTTCATCCTGCTATGGTTGCTGCACTGGGCCATACAAAGCCCTGGCCAGGAGCTTTGTCAGGATGCTAAATGGAGGGCCGTGAGTTTAAAAACTTAAAGAGGCAGTGAAATATTAGCCAATGTGGGTGAGGAATGAGTGGCTGAGAAGCGCAGCGTGTCAGTGTTAAATGGTCGGACTCGGATGCATATAAGTTAGTCCAAGCATGAAGGGCAGTGGGACGCTCGCGTGGAAGCGATGTCCCATCCCCTCACTCCACTCACCCACACAAAACACGTTCAAGCACACAAAACCCCGAGCCCCCCAACCACCCCACACACACACACGCACACAGACACCCCGTCACACAGCTTTTAAGCAAGAAGCCCATCAGAAACTTGTCATTTCTCTCATTCACTACGACAGCCTTGAGACACAATGCAGACTTACCTCTGTGTTGTACACCCCATAGATCAGAAAGATGAACAGGCCCTGCAAGCATAGACAAAGAAAGAGGGGAGAAAAAGGAGGACAAAGTTGTAACTGTTGTTTTCTCTGTTATCCTCTTTTGTTACATAAATGTAAAAGTAATAATAACGAATGAATTGATGAGTACAGGTAATGCACAATACAATGAGAGATGACTAAGAACTTCTGTAAACTCAATGATATAGGTAAGGCCAAGTTTTCTCTATAAAATCTTGCGTTAAAAAGTAAAATATAAGGTTTTAAACAGACTGACTCAGCTAAAAAAAAGATTACATTATCATGTTCCTTTTTATTTTTTTACGTAAATGGAAATACAAATTTTTAAAAATTACTAAATTGAATTAGACAAAAGTAATCTATTAAAAATCCAGACACACATACACAGTTATGTTCACACAAAGAGAGCAACAAGGGCCAGACAAGACTATCAAGAAAAATCACTAGAGGAGAGGAGAGAAAAAGAGAGGCAGGGGGAACATAATGAAAAAAATGACAGACAAAAGAAGATATTTCATGCTCACAAAACTCACGGCTAGTACCCAGTGTCCAAGAATGCTATGCCCTTGGAGACAAAAAAGCCTGCACTTTTGGTCGCAATGGAAAAGAAAGGGGCATTTTCATTCAAATCCAGTTTGGCATTTACTGAATGTACAAGCTGTGCATTCGCCTTCAGTCCATAATGTAATCCTTTAGCCTCAATGAAAACAGTAGAACAACAATCTCCGTGCACTGATTGAACCTGGCCACTAAAGATGTACCGAGGAAAGAATGAAAAGGCAGTTAAAATCCTATAAATTTCAAGGCTGATGGACACACTGGATGCTTTGATAAGAACAGAATGTCAATGTGGACCAAGATACAACAAACACGAGCACAAAAAACTTTTAAAAGTACATCTCTCCCATTTCGCTGCCAAGTATTTGTGTTGCTACACTGTTGGAAAAAGCAAAGGTAAGGACACATTACAAGGACCAGGCCAAGCCAAGTAGATGCATCAATCAAAATGGATTGGCGTTCAATTCTTCCAGAAGATCTACAGTAGATGTATCAGCATTAAAATAATGTGAGCACATATGTGACAACGGCTGGCAAAGACCTGTAACTTAAGCTAAAGTCCCTTCACCTCCTGATCCCCAAAGGTTCAGCTGTCCTATTTATTATGAACGCAATAAAGTTTTGTCAAAGTTTATAAAGAAATAATAAAGGAGGCAATGGTTTGGTTTGTTAGGACAGCTAAATCTGACCTTTACTAAGTATGCCTCAAAGCCGTAGTTTCGTAAGAAGATATTGAAACCCTTAGTCCTCACTAAGACTAAGAAGGTAGAGCACATCATCCCAGTTCTAAAGTTCTTACACTGGCTCCCTGTATCTCAGAGAATAAACTTTAAAATACTTCTGTTAGTCTATAAATCTCTGAATGGCTTAGCACCTAAATACATCACAGCTTTAAAATGATCACGGAGATTCTGGTCTTTATTTATTACCATTTAATAAGTAAAGCCAATAGTAGCTGTGGGATAATAACACCTTAAAATTTCATTTCTAAAAGTTAAATAACACATTTCAAGACATATTTTAAATAAAATGAGATTATTCAACTGATTTTTTAAACTCTTATAAGCAAAAACTTCAATCTGGAAAACTTTTTATCATTCTCACCTAGCTTCAGTCAGTCGACAATGGACTGCCCCATCTCCTCCCTCATTCTTAAGGCTGATTTATACTTCGAAACCAGGTCCCCTTCATAGGTGTCGCAGTGAACAAAAAGCCATCCCCACCCCCTCCGCAGGCACTCCGCTGCACCTCTCCCAAATTGTGACTGACCGCAGACAGTGCCGCAGACAGGAGGCCGGCTTGTATTGTTTGCAGAAAACAACTCGTGAATTTGGACCAGCTAGAAGATCGAGGTGCGCGAGAACGCTGGGTCTCTTTTTCCAACTGGATCCTCAATCTTTTTCACTGTTATGTGCCTCCGTTGTCGGACTAAACTCGCCCCCACTTCCTCATCGCCTTGGCCGTATCTAGACCCACAGCGTATAGCACAGACCACGCTTCAATATTAAGCATAAATCAAAATTGTCTGCATCAAGCTCACTGCGACACACTGCTGCAGAAGTATAACCGGCCCTTTAGACTATTCTAAGAATCTCTCATCCGGGCCCTGAGGGGAAGACTACTCTAATGCTCTTCCCAAGTTATTCATCCAAGCTTATGTCAATTTACAACATCATGTCTTCTGCTGGGGTCCAAGCAACAAAGAACCTATTTCATTCAAGTCAATTAAATCTTTCTATCCCTTCTTTTATCTGTGTGAGTCTCATCATATAGGTAATATATTTGTATGAACTCTTCATTACTACTCTTTAGTCTAAACGTTTTACAACAAAACTTGATGCTATCACCTTTAAATAAATTGCCTGTGACCTTTCTTAGCAATAAAAAACAGAAAGCGCCCAAATTTCTTTTACCCTCAGAGAATAGATGCTGGGACTTTAATTCTTGAGGCTTTCAGTGAAAAGGAGCCATTGTTGGAAATTCATATTTACAAGCAAGAAATAAAATAACATACTGTGGGGGTTAATTTGCAACACATTTTTGATTGTGTTGCATTAGAATTGCAATTTGCACCTCACTGTTGCAATTTCATTATCATGTTTTTGATCCTTGTTCTTCTTTGCTAGTAATCTTTTGTTATATCGTGAACAAAGTGAGGAGAACACACTGTGCGTGTTAAGAAAAATGATCTTTTAACATCTAATTGAGTTAAAAATAAGACGGACTGTTTAAAATGTTAATTCATTAATATCTGCACCGATAAACAAACATACAAGAAAATGGGGCCACATTATTCAAATTCAAGCTGCTTTTCTAAACTCAGTCCTCTGTCTTTGAACTCGGCACACGATACTGCCCAATTTATGCCAACTGCTATCAAAGTATTGCTACGCTGTACATCAAACAGGGGAGCATATATTAATTTGCTCTCCACTAATTAGCAAACAATTGTATGTTTAAAAAGTTAAAGATAACACAGTGTTGAATCAAAAACACCATCACCCCAGAGAAATGCACTCTGCTGCAATACAACAGAAAATAGCACTTGTTTAAAAAAGTAAACAGGGCTCTTCATCTCAGAGTTTTGTCTCAGAGTAGAAAGAACAAATGAAAGTTGAACAACTCGATTATTGTAAAATAGTTTAAGTCAATTAATTTAGGGCCATAGATGCTGTTACACTAACCTTGGTGCTGTCAACTTATGGACTGTTTTTAAAGTTAACCATCTGATTTTAGAAGCTTTCCTTTGCCTGTCCTTGCAGCTCACTCTCCGTTAAAGCACGTGAAGTGCATTAAATGTTTAGTGTGTGCATTAAGAGTGACTTAGTTTGGCACTAAATGCTTTATTTAACTATTTAATCCAAGTACAAGTGTCATGAAATTAAGCACATCATTCTAATAATATCCAGAGTTCGACACCTGAAGCTATGCCAGTCAGTTTAAGTGCAACATACTTCATGAAGCAGCTGCATTGTTGCAAGAATTAGAAGAATCTAGACACAAGATAACCAAACCCGCCAGACCAAGAGGAACATTTCTCTGGCTAAGGCACAGAAGCACAAGTTAATCAGAAAGTTAGCCAAGTATTATTTTTTCTATCTTACATTTTATTCTGGTTATAAAGCAACTTCTATAAGAGCTCTACAATTGAAGGCAGACGTGTTTGGCAAGAAATATATGTGCATCCGCTAATTAAGAGATTAAATTCACTTAGACAACTTAAAAGGCATGTTGTATTTGGATGTCTGGAAATGCGCCATCACGATGATCTGTTTCAGGTCTGAGTAAAGCCTGATTAAAGGATGTGAATGATTGCTCTGGTCAACTTAGCACAGCTGTTATTAACACTGCTGCTATAGCAGCAGAGCTGAATGTTTATCTTTAGTATAGAAATAAAAGAATTTTCTTGAGAAGCTTTAGCCGCTATTTTTTTTTAGATGGTGACAAACTAGTAACAATTTTGGTAACCCAGATACCAGGCTTTAGACCTTTGGCATATTACAGGTAAGGAAATGTATATTTTATTTTACAGATATATATTATTTACATATCTTTAAGAGGGATAAATAAAAAGGTATAGAAATTCTATCATAACATATTTTTATAAACAGGTGACCAGAAAAGCCTCTCCTTATAGACCATCCCCTGTTTTTATTCAGTCTTTTCTTTATTGTGCATGAAACCAGATCTGGACACAAAAAAGGAGATCATTACAACTTTAACACAATTACACCCACAGTACATGAAAATCTACTCTACAGTTTTGGTCTCAACACACTATAAATGATTACAAATTCCAAGTGAACAACACCTATGCAGTCCTCCTGATCGTTCACCTTTCAGCACCCCTTTTTCTAGTTTCCATCAAGCTCCCCAAAGGTGTGGACTTAGGGAGCAACACTGGCAGGTAAGACTCTTAGAAAACAGCAAGTTTATGACATTGTCCTTGGGAGACAAATTTTCAATGTAGAGATATGAAAACTATGATTAAAGGGAAGGAACAGTGTCTTGGCAAGAAGATAGGGACTGACGTGGCAGTTTTTTCTTCTCTGCTAGAATATATTGCTTCTGTCACCTAAGAGCTCCTTATACAAGAGGCAGGAAATTTCCTTTGTTTTGAATAGAGTGAAAAAAAGAGGAACAGTGTCTTCTTATTTGGATCAAAAGTTGCTATTTGCAAAGGTGGAACCTGCTTAAATTATTTGTTCAGTACTGGTTTAGATTAGCATCTAAATAAAAGAAACAGTAAAAAAAAAACAACACCTTGCAAAAAAAATATGATTTTCTATGGAATATTTACATAACATAAAATATATTGTTACTAGTTACTAGTGTTCAAAATACAGTCAAACAACATTGTAATTTTTTTCCCCCAGGAAATGACAAAGGCTGTTAAAAACGTTAAAAAAATATATCTAAAGAGTGCAGCTTTCGTTTGTATTCAGCCT